TTTAGCTAGCATTTGCTGCTTTGGCTTTTAGTGTATTTACATTTTGCTACTCATAGCTAGTGTTTAGCTACTTTTAGCTATACCAACTCATTTTCTTTTTCTTCTCAGCAGATTTCAACATTTAGGTTTTGTTTTTTTTAACAAAGCCTTTTTATTGTTCTTTTGACACAAAGAAAACTGAGCAAAACAAAAGAACACATAAAAAAATCCCCTCCCAGCCCGGACCAGTCACACATACACAAATAAACTACACAGGTATTTACAAGTTTTCAACAAATGGCACAAAGGGTTGCCAGGTGTCCCAGAACCGTCCTGCAGAAGTTTTCAGGACGTGTCAGATTTTTTCCAGGTGGATATGATGCATCACCCAGTACATCATCCAGGTGCATATGCTGGGCTGTGTGGTCATGGGTGTACAGTTTAGTGTCAGACCTGCACTCCAAAAGCTTAGCCACAAAATGTCCAAAACACAGTTGGATCTCACAAAGTGTCTCTGCTGTAGCTGTCTAAAAAACTGTGACTTGTTAAACTTCTGTACCAGTTCAAAAGAGGCAAATCACCATCACCATAGAGATCTTATAGTGAATGCACACCCCTCAAGACCCAGGTGTCAAAAGCTGTACCAGCTTCTGAGGGAGTAAACATGATTATTTGACACGGGAGCCAAAACAGTAACTCTGTAGACGTAAGTGCCCTCCTGAACTGGTTCCAAATCTTAATCGCCCAGATCACAACGGAGTTAGAAGCGTATGTTGATACTGATTGTTAAAGGGCAGCTGAGAGCAGAGTAATGCAGAAGGGGGAGCTGGATTTAACTGAGGCCTTTTCCAGGGCCACCCAACTAGAAGGGGTGTCTTCAACCAATAAAAGTAAGGGTTGAATCTCCAAGGACAAAACACAGTCTTTGTGACTGGGATAAGTGGACCATGGTCTGAGAAGATCATGGTTCCAGAATCACATTCCTTCACCAAAGGCAAAATCTGTCTATCAAGAAAAACTTTTTGGATTCAGGAGTACGTCTTACGGACTGTGGAAAAGAATGAGTGTGATCCTGAAGTAGGGTTACGGAAGCGCCATACATCAGCCACACCATATGGTTCAAGGAACGAGTTGATTAGTTGAGCGGACTTAGCCGGCGCAGTTTTCCCCATTGAACTACGGTCAGGAGATGAAATCACAATTCATGCCACCACCAATTATAAGATTATCTGTTGACATATTCGGTCTGTTTGAGAAGAGGTTACTAAACTATGTAGAGTTGTCTCTATCAGGAGCATATACCGTAACCAAGATCACTGGCAGCGTGTACAACTTCCCCACCACTACAACGTACTGCCCAGCATTATCAGCGTGCACACTCAAGGCATCTGTTTACCAACTATAATACCCTCTTGATTTGGAAATTAGACTGAAACACCCGACCAGACCACAAAGTCCATGCTCAAAGATACAAAGAGACCATCTCGTCACAAGCAGAACTGGTTTGTTCCACTTTGCAGTAAGCTGTTGGGGGAAGAATCAGTTTTTTTGTGCGTTTCCTTGACTGACGAAGCCTTCTGGATCGAAGGCGAAACGTTTCAGCACAAAAAAAGAAACAGTCCAGCTGACCCGACTGAAAAATGTCTCGTTCTGTGAAGCGTCCAGTTTAACTGGGTCAACCTCCGTTCTGAGGCCTGCAGTGGTGTTAGCGAGCTCTGCTCGGACTGCTTTCAGCTCGCTCTTAATAGAATAAAATCGTCCGTCAGAGCCGCTCTTATTTCCATCCTAATTATCACCATGACTTCTGATTTTATTGAAGCCAGAATATTTGTCCTCGGAGCCGACTCGCCTGTCCCTCCAGAGCGCGGCAAAGGTGGGGAGGTCGCATCCGCAGACCCGCCTGCTGTTCTCGCCGCCTCTCCAGCACGGCGACTCGAAGTAGCGGCCGCGCTGTAAAAGAGACCAAAACTTTAGACTTTTTTGCTTCGAGGCAATTTCACAAATTCGTTGAGTCAGTTATGCGGCGATATCAGTCTCGGAGACAAAGTCCAGCTTGAAGACAGCGAGGGTATAACCATAAAGACAACTTTTCAGCTGGGCTGACGGGAGCTCAGCCGAGACACAGTTCACCTGTCCGCTGCCATGTTTCTCCAAAACAGCATTTAGCATTTTAGCAGAAAATGTAATTTCTCCATTTTTTAACTTTTTGTTCTTTAGTTTCCATCTTTAACCGTCTTTAATATTCCTGGATACTCCTGCCGGGTGGAACCTCAGGGCGATGAACTCTGGTTTTAAAGGTTCTGATCTGGTCCTGACGTGGAGTGATGGGAATGTGTTGGTTCCAACAGGTGGATGCGTGGGCCCAGTCCAGCAACGTTCCTGGCCTTTTCACTGGTTCTACTGGAGCTCAGGTCCTGAGCTCTGAGGAGCTGTCCACCAGCGGACCTCAGGCGTGGCTCAAGAAGGTAAAACACAAATCGCATGTTGTAGAACTTGACAGTGCTGCCGTAGAACCGGGCTCACAGAGCCACAGACGGAGGTAAAGCACGAAAACAGGAAGTGTGAATCTGCAGACGTGTGTGATGTTAGCGGAGGTTTTCTGACTCAGCAGAAACCTGAAACTAAACGTCTTCAAGAAGCTCATTCAGAGCATGTCAGCTTGTCTCATTGGCTCTGTCTAATATCTGGAGTGAGGAACATCAGAACGTTTGGGTTAAAGCCTACCTAAGAGCTAAAAGTCGCAGAACTCTAGCAAATAGCAGCAATGTGTTAGCTAAAAGTTCAAAATAGCAAAAGGCGAGATACAAGTCTAGCTAAAAGCATCCACCGTTCATCTTCAGGACCTGTGCCCCGCTCCAGCACTGTGTAACCTTCTTGTAGTACAAGAATCAGCCACTAGGTGGCGTTCACAGACCATAGCTCGCTTTCAATACACACTCAGACTGCGCGATCGTCACGTGTCTTCATGAAGCTGCGCTGACTCACGGTTACAACCATACACCTTCAAAATGAACGCAACAAGTATCGAAGCAGAATCACTGGACAGAACAGTGCCAAACACCTACGTAACTGAAATATATATTGGTAATGTCGTGGAAACTTCAGCAAGCAGTGAGAAGTAAGTTGCTGAGACTAAATCAAGAGATCAGATCTGATCTTGCAAGTGTCTTGAAGGCTCCCTCTGCCTGCAGTGCAAAAGTGAAGCCCCGAACAAAGAATTAACTGACCTTGGAAAATTTACAGCTGTGGATGTGAACTTTGGCTAATATTAGTATTAAATTTACAACAAAAACCTTGTTACTTGGAGTATTCAAACAGAAGAAACCAACAGTACAGTTGTAACATCAAATGGTAGGTCAGTTTCTAACTTAGTGACTTAGAGACTAGTACTTAGTACTTGGAGATTATACTATTGACAGGACAGCATGTATACAGAATCTTTAGGGACACTTCTCAAATCTTATTAGTTATGAAATATGTTCTAGGCAACAACCAAATATTTTTCAAACAAATATCATTAAATGAATTATCCCAGAAAATACAGAAACGGGTTTACTGATACAATTACTTTAATTATTAATTAAGAATGAGTCAGAGTTGCCAATGAATAATTCTTAAGTTAAACAGTCAGTATTTATTTGTACATAATTTGACATCAATATTGTCACACCAGATGAAATGGCATCAAACACAAATTCTCTCGGCAGTACTGGAAAATTATATGTGGTTAAAAATTCACTTTACGAGTAAATGTTGCCTCTTTGTTGAAGAGTTATGCACATGAACTCAGTGTGCTCAGTAACAGGAAGTACTGCAGGTGTCAGTGACATCACAGTGATCATTAACAGGAAGTACTGCGGGTGTCAGTGACATCACAGTGATCATTAACTGGAAGTACTGCAGGTGTCAGTGACATCACTGATCATTAACAGGAAGTACTTCAGGTGTCAGTGACATCACTGATCATTAACTGGAAGTACTGCAGGTGTCAGTGACATCACTGATCATTAACAGGAAGTACTTCAGGTGTCAGTGACATCACTGATCATCAACAGGGAGTACTTCAGGTGTCAGTGACATCACTGATCATCAACAGGAAGTACTTCAGGTGTCAGTGACATCAGTGATCATTAACAGGAAGTACTTCAGGTGTCAGTGACATCACTGATCATTAACAGGAAGTACTTCAGGTGTCAGTGACATCAGTGATCATTAACAGGAAGTACTTCAGGTGTCAGTGACATCGGTGATCATCAACAGGAAGTACTTCAGGTGTCAGTGACATCAGTGATCATCAACAGGAAGTACTTCAGGTGTCAATGACATCAGTGATCATTAACAGGAAGTACTTCAGGTGTCAGTGACATCAGTGATCATCAACAGGAAGTACTTCAGGTGTCAGTGACATCAGTGATCATTAACAGGAAGTACTTCAGGTGTAATAGCTCGTAATTATTTTCAGTATATGTCTGAGGAGTGCTGAGTCCATGTTGTCTTCTTCTGTTTTCCTCCACATCACACTTCATCTGATTGTGGTTTCAGGTTAGAGAGGCTCCATATTTCTTCTGAACACCACTAGATGGAGCCTGAGTACCACCAGTGGTCCCAGAACCACTGTTTGGTCCAGTTCTCTGATATCGTTTTTTTTTTCAGATCATGAACCAGGTGATGGTCTGTTTTTTTGAACAAGTACTTCAACTTCACACTTACAGGTATATTATGTCAGAGGTCACTCTGACCTCTGCTGACCTCTTGACCTTTGACTTAGCACAGTGGTCAGGACTTGGTCTCGGTGGGCTTTCTTCCGATGACGTGTCCCCTGAGACGGTCATCAGTGTGTAAACATGCTGGCATCAACTGAGCAGATGATGTCATTTTTATTCTGGACCACACAAAAACAAAATACGCACTGACATCTACATGACAAGAACCGTTTTACTGCCAGCAGAAAGAACAACAAAAATAAGAGTTTAGGGGTGGTTCACAATTTTCAACATTTCCACAAGCATTCAAAATATACTCTTTTTGGAGACCCCCCCCCCCCCCCCCCCCCAGAAGCAGACAGAAAAATTAGACTTTTACAGAACCCATTTTATTTTTTGTAAAGCTGAGGGTAAAACCTATATGCTTACATGGATATTGTCATAAGTAAAACTATTGTCATTCCATATTTGTACACATCTCTAAATTATTTACACACATTTATGATAAACTACACGCACCTGAAAATGACTCACAACTGGCCCATTTGCACCGCTCCTAATCAGCCCCAACTCTGCTCAGCCTGGATTTGAACCTGCACTTTAGGACCGATTCTGGAGGCGTGTCCAGATTCCAAAATCCTGCTAATGAGAGTTCTGCGATGAGTTACTCAAAGCAGTCTGCTCCTCAGATAAATAATGTTAAATTATTATTTTATATATGAATATTTCTGTTCAGTGCCCTGAGACGGCTTCTTTTGTGACTTGGCGCTGTATAAACTGAATTAAATCTGATGAACCAGATCCTACAAAAACATCTATATTTAAAATATCTGAAATCTTCGGTCAGCGGGCACCGGGCAAGCAAGATCCTTCAGAAGGCACAGACCCAGCTGCTGAATGAACGGGTGAGACAGACCAATTTTACTATTGAGGCCTTGAAGGCCAAAGAAGAGCACATTAAACAGAAACTAACAACGTGTCTAGATCAGACCACACTTCAGCAAGTGTTGGACTGTACAGATCAGGCACGCTTAGCACAGCATGTCAAGTCCAAGACTCGACATGTCTGTGCTGATGTTCAATGTTTTTATGTTATGGGTGCTTAGTGTATATTTAGTTGATGTTTTTCTTAGTTCATATCTTAGATGTTATTACTGTTTTTCTTATACATTTTATTGTTGGATGTAACTGGGACCCTGTGTACATAATTTCGCTCCACCACATGTACCACATGAGGTGCGAATGACAATAAAGAAACTCTGACTCTGACTCTCTGACAACAAAACAAGTTTAACTTACTAATAACTCATCAACACCATCACTATTCCAATAACAACACATTCAGTGTAGGACAACACTCCAGTAGTCAATTACATGCCAGGGAGACAGAAAAGTGGGTGAAGAATTTATCTGACAGACAGCTTACCCAGCCAGAGACAGAGATTCTTGCCAGGGGACTGAACTTTGCGGTTGCACCAAGTACAATTCCTCTGGTGGAGATGATCACAGCTACTGAATCAGCCATCCGCAACAACAAAATGAAAGAGTGTGACGCAGAACAACTCAGAATCAAAGTTTCAGCCTGCCTCAGCAATGCCAAACCACCACCTTCCAACATCAGTAGAGAGGAGAGGGATGCACTCACCACTCTTAGCAAGGACAAAAACATCATCATTCTCCCAGCAGACAAAGGAAGGTGCACAGTGATTTTGAACCAGAAAGACTATCATGAGAAAGTTATGACACTCCTTAGTGACTTAACCACTTATGAACCTCTGAAAAGAGATCCAGGAAGTGGTTACAAGAAGAAGTTAATAGATTGCCTGAAAA